AACACACAAAAAAACTTCATTAAATTTTGTACAAGTAGTACCCTTTTATAGCACATCATTTCGACACTCGGTTCGTACACCATTATATCCACATTATACAAACATAACATATTTCGCACACACTCACATTTGTATAATAATAAATTAACGTATTGAAAAGTGCAATAATGTTTGGGCAGTTAAAATGGTAATTTTGAGTGATACAGTACAAAGCAGTGCATATACAACATGAAGAAAAAATAGATACAAGAAAACAAAACTTCAGTATAGCCTGTGCAGGCAAAGTGATTAAGGTGCACTTTACCATCATTTCGACACTCATGTACGTACATCATTATATCACATGATATACATTATAAATCTCACACACTCGAGAATACGGAAGGAGAGAGCAGATCTTATTGAAGTTTTTCAAACTCATCCAGGGCATAGACAAAGTAAACTATAGGATTTTTTTACTAAATCACATGTCACCCATACAGAGAGACACAGTATGAAACTTTTTAAGGACCGGAGCAGGTTAGAAATAGGAAAGCACTTTTTCTCCCAGAGAGTTGTCGACACATGGAACAGCCTCCCTCAACACACTAGTAACGTCAAAAGACGTTCTTGACTTCAAGATCAAGCTTAGCCGCATTGGTCGAGCCAGGGTTTATAAATAAGCAATAGCTGCCTAACCGCGGAATAGCCATGCATCGACATAATGCTTGTGTGTGGTTATACAGTAGATACAGTAAATACAGTAAATACAGTGAATACATATTGCATACATACATACACCCACACTCATCATTTATATAAGTGTAATATAATTACTACTATAATATTAATTACTAACTATCAAGTTATAAATTACACTGCTATAGCCCGTGATGGAGCACAACTGTCACCCCTATATTTAATCTTAGTCCATTTATACGAGCCAATAGTAGAAAATCTGAAGTCCACTGCTCTTCCTTGTCTTAAACGCATTTTCCATAAGTGTTTTTTAACTTGCCCATTTAAACTAAGTAATCATCTGGCCTGCAGAACAAAGCTGGCAGATCTACATGTGAGGTGGTAAGGGAGTTCTAAGCTTCATTTGCAAGTATATATGAGAATGTCTTGGATTTTCCATTGACCCCCACTCTTGGTTTAAAGATTGACAGCTCCCCAGCCCTAGTATGTGGCTAAAATAGTTTATCGCCCTATTAATTAAAGTGCGATATAGTCCCTTTGCGGTTCAAAGATATGGTATGTAACTTCTGGTTTTCGCCGAACCAAAATCTCTGGCTAATCAGCGCACGGATTTCAATCACGTGACTGTTCGCTGCATATTACCGCACACTGCGGCATCTCACTGTGCTTGAAATGAACGATTCTAACGAAATCTAATTATAATAGAATACTATAATGGACGGAAAATGATGGATTCGCAATAGTAGGAGTAGAGATAACCGGTCCGTGAAAAGATCGAAAGGCGCCGAAAGGCAAGGCTAATCATACGGACTTTCGGTAAAGTACGCAGATAAAGCGGGCACACACGGACGCACGTACGTACGCACAGCACGCACGCACCACGCACGCACGCGCACGCGTACGCGCACGCACACGCCACCACGCACACCCCGCACCAATGTACATGCTATTACATCGCCAACAGAGAGTTTCCAGTACGGTCAACTGACTCGTCAACAAAACACACGTGGCTTTATCCCTGGCCATGCCCCCCCCCTCATAGTCAGAGTTATAGCTTCTATACGTCACTGGCTTCTTACCATACCAACCCCATATCCGTCACTCGCTCGGCAGTTGTGGTACCGCACTGGTGCGCTGTAGACACACATATATGATTGACGCACAACACCTCAGGTAACAACTGACACAGGCAAGGTTTTTGGGTTTTCGTGCACGAGCAGGGATTTACACAAGTTGTTATATAGGAGGCTTAGTAAATGGCTTTAGCTTCTGGATTGTGTGACATTCGTGCGGTGGACAAAAACGTGCTGTATACAAGTATATAGATGTAGATAGTTGGTTTGGCCAGCAGACATTTCTCTCTCTTCCAACCCCCCCCCCCCATCTCTCTCTCTCTCTCTCTCTTCTCTTCTCTCTTTCTCTCTTCTCCTTTCTCTCTTTCTCTCTCTTCTTCTTTTTCTTCGTTCCGTTTCTCGTACTCCCTAAAATATCGCGCGATCTCACACCGGGATCTCTCTATATAGTTCCTCTCCTCCCTTCCTCGGCCTCCCTGCCCTGCTCATCACTGACGGTGGTTGCGCAGCTGCTGCAGTTTCTCAGCAGTAACATCGTCAGCGTCGTGTTTGTCGTCGTCACGGCTCTCGCGTCGTCGTACTACGTGAAGCGACCGCGTGGAGCGCCGCCCGGACCCCGCGGCTGGCACGTCGTCGGCTCCCTCTTCTCGCTGGCGGGCAACCATGGGGGGCGTTACCTGAAGAAGCTGGGTGAGCAGTACGGACCGATATTCAGCCTCTATGTGGGAGCACGGGTAAGCATATACGGC